TGTAAATTTTGCGAGGGTCGCGGAACCGAGTCATTAGCGCGACTCTCTCCTATCGTTCCATTGATCTTCGAGATCCTCTCCTTGCAGACCCAACGATTCTCCTCGAAACTTCGAGGCCGACGCGACGCCGGCGACCGCGTGCCATCCTCCTCGACCGTCCGCGCGCGCCCGTTTGTCGATGATTTATCGATCCGTCGAAACGAGCCGGACTTGCTTCTTTTTTCCGTTCTTCTCGTAGACGCGATCTTTCAGCAAGATTCGACGGATTATCGGGTCAAGTCAGACTTGCGGAAAAAGATAAATCGATAAAACGCGATCGATCGCGATCAATCGTGATCCTGAACGAGGATTCGACGCGTTGGAAAAATTTAACGAAACGAAACGTTAGCTACGCAAAGTTCCCCCAGGGCTTCGAAGAGGATTCCAGCCAAAGCCGAGCGTGGGCCAGAACAAGTTGAAATGGGCAGAAACGGGCTGAAACGAGGTGAAACAACAGGCCGGGACAGGGATTGCCGCACGGATATGGAATCGACCTCCGAAGAAGAGAGGCAATAGGTACATATTTAGGGTAGGAGTCGAGGAGCGAGGTAATTGGTCGGAACGAAGTCTGAGAGGATTCTAACCGCCCCCTCCGAAAAAGAGCTCCATTGGTGGTCCCCGTGTGATGGAGAATTTAGCAAGGTGGTCCTCTTTTAAATCATGCGCGCCGACAAGAAACACCCCTCACTCTCCATCACCCTTCCTCCCGCCCTACTGGGCCTTAGGTATTACCGGCGCGCATCCCGATAACCAAAACGCACGCCGCTGCGCCTCTCGGCGGTCAGCTTTGGACTCGGTCACGGTTCCACAGACGAGATATAAGAATAGACCTGACATGCAGTGTAATTTTCTGTAGCATGCTTTGGGGACGTCAGAATCCAACATTTGAGTATTCCATTTTTTGCTAGCGAAACCGGGGTAATAATGTATGTATGTATTGTTATATGAGTTGTGTATGCTGTGCGTTATCACGGTGTCGGTATTTATGTAGAGGTACGCTCGAACTAAGGGTGATTTTCGTGGGACGCTACTAACAAGGAAAGGCACGGAATTGTCCCCCTCCGATTTTGATGAAACTTCGTGTGTCTGTTAAACAGTCAAAAATAAGGGATACGTATTTTTTTTTTATCTGCTGAAACACTACATTAAGGGGTGAAACCACTCCTCGAAGATCGACCCGAAAGTACAATACTATCTCGAAAACCAGAGGAGATACATGAAAACTTCTAATGGACAAGGTTTACGGTTTTTTATGTAGAATAATATGGTGCTCATAAATTGTCCAAAATATAATTTGTTTATTACAGAAAAATTTCGGATTTAAACTTCGAGGGGTGGTTTCACCCGTTAAAGTCGCGTTTCAGCCGATAAAAAAAAAATACGTATCCCTTATTTTTGACTGCTTAACAGACATACGAAGTTTTATCAACATCGAAGGGGGACACTTAGGTTTATTCTTATATCTGTGACGATTCCTATTGTAACTGCCCCGCGGCTCTGTGGTTGCGGGCTTGCAAGAACGTCGATAGATCAGAGCCCCGTCGACCACGTTTTCTTTTTTTTTTTTTTTTCTTGCTCCCTACTGCACTTTCGAGGCCGTTCGAGCACGCGAGTCAAACGAGACGACGCAATCTAGAACGCGTAAAAAGGAAGAAGGTTGCGGCGTACGGTTCACGCGTAATCTTGATCGCGTTTCCGGAAACGACGTATCCTGCTTTTAGCTTGGCAGACGCATTCTCGCACACTTCTCGCGTGGATATGAGAAGGAAAACAAAAGGGAGTGTAAGAGAGAGGCGGCCATTATCGGTATGGCGAACTAACGAGCGACCGCCGCTCGCAATCAATTGCTTCCGGAGGCGGCGCAGCCGATGCTTGTTGGAGGTTACGTGAAACCGATTCTTTCCGGTTGCGTATGTAACCGAGATAAAGACGCGTGTACACTGACGTGTGCATACTCGGTTTCCTCTAGGGTGAAAAAATGACGGGAAAGGATCTCCTACCAGTTGGTATTGGGAATTATTGAAATTTATTATAACATTTATTTCTGTAATGGAAATAAATTTATCCAGTGGTTGGAGGCACTTCTCTTGCATCACTTTTTCCCCTAGTGGAAGCCTTACGAGTAAACTCATCTTCCACTAGGGGAAAAAGCGTCGTAGGGGTAAGGGGTTCCTACCAATAGATAAAATTATTTCCAGTGTTCAAATAAATGTTACTTTGGTATAAATTTCAGTAACTCCGTGACCAAATGGTAGGAGGTCTTTTCCTTAGATCACTTTTCCCTAGGGGAAGGGCATCCTACAATTTGGTATTGGGAATTATTGAAATTTATGCCAAATTAACATTCGATTTAACATTTATTTCAGTACTTGAAATAAATTTACCAACTGGTAGGAGACTTTTCGTCTACGTCACTGTTTCTTCTAGTCGAAGCTGAGTTTGTTCGCGAGGGTACATGTGTATAGATAACCGCTGCGACGGAACTAGGTATTACAGCTGCGAATCCAATGCGTTTGCTACCGAGAACCCGAAGGATACTACCGAGGTAGAGAAGATTCGCAACGGTAATCGTTCTCGCGACAGATCGTTCCTTCTTCCGCGAAGAACGATTGCGAAGCGACGATCGAGGTTCCCCGTAATCCGGCCGTGTCGCACGAGTCGCAACGTCCAGGCTCGTCGCGGATCGGCTGAAACCACGGTTGTATAGATGCAGGCGCGGAAACTCCCGTGGAAGGTGTGATCCCTTAACCCTCATCCCTCATTTTCCCAAGATAATTTATCCGGCGTCAAATTAACACAGTGGTGAAAAATTAATCTAATAAAAAGGTAAATAGTTAAATTTGCGTATTCTTTAAAATAAAAATCACGGAGACTCAGCTAAATTTATCTGCACAAAAACATCATTTTTTAGTAGAAAAATGTGTCATATTGACACAAGGGACGGATGAGGGTTAAGGGTACTAGGCAATCGAAAGATTAATTTTTTTTATTGGGTTTTTCGTTAATATCTCGTTAATAAAGCCCCGAAGAACAATTTTTGTTAAGGAAAAACTTCAAGAGTGACCCATTTCGGGGACCTACGAACACTTTTGTTACACCCTGTATACGACCGTGGCTGAAACAAAGGGAACGCGACCGCGGCAGTTTGTCACTGCATGCCTCATCGAGGCTGCGGTATTTCCTCTAACGCGCCGCCACCGCCATCACCGCCGCTTCCGACGACGATCGCTCCTTCCTCGAATCTACCTCCGACAAAAGCACTCGCCTCTCTCGAACAACACGATAAAACCTTCTTCTTTACGCAGTCCTCGCGAGTCGCGAAGATATCCGTGTTTCGCCGCGCATCCCATCGAAATCTATCGTGTACACTGACGAGCAAACTCGGCTTCTGCTAGGGGAAATAGTAGGGCAACGAAAAGGCCTCCTACCACTTGGTAGATTTATTTCAAGTACCGAAGTAAATGTTAATTTGGCGTAAATTTCAATAATTCCCAAGACCAAGTGCAAGAAGGCCCTTCTACACTACTTCCACTAGGGGAAAAAGTAGGGTAAGGAAAATACCTCTTACAATGCTTCTACCACTTGGGATTGGAAATTAATGTAATGTATGGCAAATTAACATTTGTTTCAGTATCTGAAATAAATTTACCAAGTGGCCGGAGGCCATTCTCTTACGTCACTTCATCCCCTAGAGTAAGCAACTTAGGGGTAAGAGTCTCCTACGTCTTGATAAATTGATTTCAAACCTCGAAATAAATATTAAACTGAATGTTAATTTGTCATAAATTTCAGTAACTCGGATATGAAATGGTAGCAGTTCTTTTCGTTACATCACTTTTTCCCCTAGCGGAAGTCGAGTTTGCTCGCGAAGGGTACTCGAAGCTATCAAATCCAGCGATCCTTCAACAAAATCTCAAAGCAATCGTACGTAATTGATCGCTTGCGATGTCACTTTATTGCCAGGTTAGCTTCGATGTATATGATATCTCGCGGCTTCTCGCTGTCGCGCAACAGTATTTCCCGCTCATTATCTGGAACGGGTCTCGGGCGTAGGTATGTACCTACAAGAAAACTATCAAACAAAGCGCGCACTGTTGTTGGCCCGGCGTCGAACGCAGACCTCTCGGCTCGCACTTCTCCGATTAATTAACCTCGGAATAGCAGAATCGCGGCGCCAGGATGAATCACCATCGGCGAGGCGGCGATTCGCGCCGCGCCGCGCGTTTATCTCCGGCTTTGTCCGCGGGATATGTAGGTACAACGCGGCCCACGAACCCTCGAATTAAATATTGTACGTAAACCGACGTGCAAACTCGGCTTCCACTAGGTGAAAAATTAACGAATTAAAGAAGAGACCTCCTACCACTTGGTATTGGGAATTATTGAAATTTATGCCAAATTATCACTCAATTTAACATTTATTTCAGTACCTGGAATAAATTTACCAAGTGGCAGGAGATTTCTCTTGTACGTTACTTTTTCCTCTAGTTAAAGCCGAGTTTGTTCGTGAGGATATAGGGTGTAACGAAAGTGTTCTGGGTCCTTGAAATAGGACAATCCTGAGGTGAGTTACAACAAGTTTTTCCTTTGCGAAAATGTTACCCGAGGCCTTGGTAACGAGATATTAACGGAAAAGCCCGACCAATCAGAGCTCGGCTGACAAACTCGCGCTCTGATTGGCCGGCGTTTTTCGTTAATATCTCGTTAACAAGGCCTCGGAGAACATTTTCGCTGAGTAAAAACTTGTTCGAAATCACCTAACGAGTGACCCATTTCAGGGACCTACAACACTTTTGTTACATCCTGTATATCGTAGCAGAAGGCTCGCGGCTCTTACGTAAAAATTCCCGTCTTCCCCGTGATCGTTCACCGCTCGAAACCACAACGGACACGACATTCCTGGAGAACACGAGGCTCGGAGATGAAGTTCTGGTACCTTTCGATTGCGAGTACATGTATCGCTAAGAAGACGCAAGATCGTTCGGCTCGATCTCTGCAATGTCCGATCCCTTCGCCTCGTCGAGACGTTCGATCGCGTGGCCCAGACGTTTCTTTAGCTTGGCCAGTTCCTTGACGGAGGCGAACGGCGTGATCGAATTCCACGTTATAGATTTCGTCTCCGTGGTCCCTGGATTTTTCGTCACGGATCTGAGAATGGTCGCCAGCGCTGCGTCCGCGATCTCTTCCCAATCCTAGCCGCGAATCAAGAAATGGTATACCAGCGTATTATACAGGCCGGTATTATAAACGAGCGAATTGCTACAAGGAACGATTTCTAGTTACCAGTTTGTCGCATGGTCGAGGCTCGAAGCCGATCGCAGCTTCGATAGTCGCGTACTTTTCTTCGTTGGTGTTCATCCGTAGTATCAGCAACAGCAATCTGGCACTGCAGTAAAGTTCGTGGCCGGCCCGTTCGCGTTCCTGCAACGCGCATCTGACAGTAATCATGTAGGTAGAGGGGAGTTGGAGCACATTGTTGCAACAGGACACAATGAAACATCAATAGTATCTCGATATTCATAAACATTTGGAAGTTCAAAACATTACCACAAGATGAAATCGTTTTCCAGAATACACACGACGCCTTGAAAACTAAAATAGCCGTAAAATAGGCGTCTTCAAGACGTCATGTGCTCTCTGGGTTATATGTTACCTTATGGCCATGTTTCGAGCAATTTAATTATTTATGGATATCGAGATACTATTGCTGTTTCATTCTGTCAGGTTTCATCAAAGTGCCCCGAGTTCCCCTATGCATTTCCCTGGAATCGTTTCGACATCGCCAGGTCGGCTCGCTAATTACCGCTCTGGCTTCGACGAGATCCTCGAGACGCTCGAGGATCGCGCGGTACGTCGACTCGAAGAGGAACGGCAATCCAGTGTCGGACAACGATGATCCGGTGTTTCTCTCCCGAACGGCGCGCAGCATCTTCTTCTCGATGTTCCTCAGCTGGATCGTCAGCAAACCGATCGCGTTCTACCACCGGAAACGAAAACGTATAACGACGACAGGAAATATCGATCGAATCATCGCGCAGTGGTTCGAATCCTATATACTAGGTGGACAAAAATAATTGTCAAATTTTAGATTGATATAGCATTTCGAAGTATGTATTTCAATTTTAATACCATTAAATAATCAATAACTTTTTTGTATTTTTATACGAAATAATAGTCCACCTAGCATTCGGGACTCGAAACACTGGGTATCTGTCCGTGTCCTACGATCCCACCGTTATCCCGTCGATCTTTCGACGAGCATTGTAGTGAGCCTCTATCCGTGAGTGCATCAGCCGAAGGTGATCCTGCCCGATAGTTCCCGAGAGATTCCCGTACTTTCTGTCCGCAAGCCTGTCGATCAGCTGTCGCACCACCAACGTCGTCGACAATCCATCGTTCGATTGTACCCGATATCGATTGCTCGCGTTCCCCGATACGATCGTGACCCCTTGACCGTTTCTCGTGTAACGCAACCCCAAAGCAGTCCAGTTCTGTTTCTGACCGGTCTGCGTTCGATCGCCGGTGAATTCTGCAACGAACAGGTCGAACGTGTGTGACGTGCGTCCTTATAATTCTAGGGGAAAAAGTGATGTCCTGGCAAGGCCTCCTACCACTTGATAAATTTATTTTAAATACTGAAAAAAATATTGTAAATCGAATGTTAATGTTAGATAAATTTCAGTAATTCCTGATACCAAGTGTTAGGAGGCCGTTACACTTACGCCATTATTTCCCCTAGCGGAAGAGCCTCCTACTACTTCGTATCGGGAATTACTAAAATTTATGTCAAATTAACATTCGATTTAACATTTCTTTCGGTGTTTGAAAAAAAAAAAAATTCCCCCTAGAGAATTTTCCCCTAGTGGAAGCCGAGTTTACTGTACGTACAGCTTTTTCGCTCGCGCTAGCGAACAAGTTTACGAAATACCCGACGAACGTGTTCGGTGCGTCGGTAAATTATACGATATACGTACGTAGGTCCGCGATTATACCTAATATACGGCTGCGAATCCGCCAGGTGCGGCACGGTACGAGCATCGAACCACCGAAAAAAAGAAAATGCCGACGCGAGGGAACGCAGACTCGCCCCCCCCCCCCAGTCTGTTCCTTTCGGGCACCGATTGATGCGCGTGAAGTTAGCCCCCATTTTGTGAAAACTTACAAAATTATCGTTGTGCTAGTTCCTACTAATTTCGTATCCCGTTGTACCATTGAGAGTTTCCTAAAATTCGAAATGGGTTTCGAACAAAGTGCAAAAAAAAAGAAATTCAAAAATAGCTCCGTTTTTTTTGAAAAAAATTAATTTTTCTCCATTGTACTGTATTTACTAGTTATACGTTGTACCAAGCATTGGATCGTTCGAAAAAAATTGTTTAAAAACATTAGTTTCCAAAAGAAATCGTATATGAAAATATTGGTGTACGCACTTTCTTCGAAAACGGTTTCGGTTTTTTAAAAAATTTTGAACGGTACAACGCGTTACAAAACTAATTCGCTACGAATTTACCAGGAAACAGACGGGCAAGCCCCAGGAGTGGCTGATGATCGTCGCCCTTCAAAACCGTCGTGAAGGTGGTCACGTTCTCGGGCGGGCAGCTCTGTAGCATCATCTTCAACGGCAGCTGACTCGTTTTTCGTACAGTTCGTAAGTTACCGTCCTCCGTGTCCCTTCTATAGCTCACAATCACGTCGATCTCGCACGCTATCGCCGGCAGATCCCCGTCTACATGGATCCTTGTCTCGATCGAGTGTCGATCGTCTAAAAAACCGCGAATCGGTTTACGCAAACTTAAAAAAAATTAATTCTTTTTCAAAAACTAGACGTGCCAAAATGAAACGGTTGTAGATTCGTATTCAGGTCATAAAGGTCTATCAGAAACGCCTATTAAAAATAGTAAAACTTGGTACGTGTTGAACGGTGAATTATTTATTATACGCGTCACTTACGGAGATTCGAGATAGCGCAGAACGTATCGGTCGCGATCAGAGGTTTGCGAACGTCGATGCAGACTTGAACGTCGCGTAGCGTCGTGAGCCATTCTGCATGTAAACGGTCGACTCTCGTCCTCCTCGTTGCTCTGGCCGTCTTGGCGGTCGTTCTGGTCATTTCGATTCGAGCGATCGCCGTTGCTAGATCGAGCGGAATCCTCCGGCGAAACGTTCACCGCGATTATCAACTCCGCATCCAATGTGGCGTCGTTGGCACGGTCCTCTTGTTCAGCGAATTACCAATCGTTAGGTATCATTTTCACGTTCGATTATAGGCCAAGAAATTATAGGACAAAAATATGGGCAATCTGCAGAATAATTCCCATCAAACTGCATTTTCGTATGGACCTTTATTTCGTTGTCTTAAATGATATGTCGAAAGTATCTAAAAATTTGACAGAGTGGCGCGAAAAGGAATGGATTATTTCTTAGAAATATGATGGTTGTAACTTTGTAAGCCGTCATGTATGCTAAAGGTTACTCCCACGAAAAACTTTACTGAACCTTTTACGTGGAATATTCCCTGATCTACAAATTTGATAATAACTATTCTTGTCGTAGAACTGACAGACAACGAGATATTTGCGAAAAACGGTGTTTTTTTGCGTTTGACCTCTGTGAAATTCTTAGCAGGAGTCGCATCGATAGGGACTTTTGATACGTTGTTTAAAACAAGGAAATAAAGGTCCATACCAAAATGCAGCTTGATAGGAAATATTCCGCAGAACAATCCTTATTTGACTGGGCTATTATCTAACGCGCGACTCACCCGAGGATTTCTTGCGCTTTAGAAGCGCTCGCAGATCCGCGAGCTGCTGTTCCGCGGCCGCGTAATCGTACCGCCTCGAATGTAGAGGCGGCGCGATGAACAAACCCGGTTCCGATCCCAGGTAGCAAGCCTCCAATCGGCCTTCCTCGGACAACGCCATTATCGCGCCGTCCAGGTGCTGAAAGCATCCAAAGATCCTCGTTATAGGGTAAAAGACCCTTTTACTATCACCTACGAAATTACTGACATCGTAAACTGTTTTATTTAAAATACCAAATAAAACGGTAGTGAAGTTATACAACCTAACCTAAAAAGGTGACAGAATGTAGAGTATATGAGGTGACGGTATTTGGTTAGGTGGTAGTAAGTGGTATGTCTGTACTGTTACGGGTGACAATAATAGCATCCGAGCTGTATTTTCGTAACTACTTAATTTACAAACGAAAGTAAAGATTCAGAAATTTACAACAAATTTTCTCTTCGATCAAACATGTTAAATAATAATAAATACAAATAAAAACTTATGTTATCGGTCACTTAATGCAAAAATTCTGGAAATTGTCTTCTTAATTGTTCAGTAATCGGGTCTGTTACTCTACACGTATATACTCGGCGCAGCGACGCGTTTCTGCGCGAGACGAATCGTTGCCGTTTTTCTCGGTATCGAGCCAATTAATAACCGGCAGTTAGTTGCTCTATCTCCCGGAAAAACAACATCGGGGCAACCTTGCTCGACGCTTGTGCGCGACGATAACGAGCAGATAACGACGGAACGATAATTGCCGGCGTCGTTCGTTCGTTCGAGTTAGCATTTCGTCTCGTCTCCCGTTTCAACCCTTTCGAAGCATACGCCGCGGCGGTCTTGATTCTTCTTTCCGGAAAAATACAGGATTCGCGGAATCGAGATCGGATTACCTGAAGCTGAGCCCTCGCGACGGTGACCGGAGCAAAAGGCAACTGCGCCGACCATTTGAGCCTCGTGCCTTCGTAAATCATGAGCGTGCTCGTGTCGGCGATTACGAGCACCATCAACTTTCCATCCGGCTCTGAAAGTTACGTGGCCAATTAACGTTGCAGGACTTCCCCTAATCCCCGTTCATTGCGACCGATCCACCCAGGGCCGTTCCTGGCGGGGGTGCAAAAGATGGTCCCGCATAATAGTAAACACAGCAGTAATTAAATAATATTAAATTAATAAGGCCGACCATATTGTTTTTGCACCCGGGTGACCAACAACCCAGGAATAGCCTTGGATCCAGTGCAGATCGCAACTGAATGGGGACGTTCGTTAACGGGTTACCCTTACCTTTCTCCGACACGATTTGATCGACAATATTAACTCACCAACACGCTTAAATCACCGTCAACAATTCACCATTGAGGGGTAAGGGTAACCCTCCGTTAACTCCGTTTCGATTACCGATAACGTAAGCTCGAAAGCAGAGCGGTTTGTACTCCAGTCTCTTGGCGTATTTGACCGACGTGCAGTTGTCCTTCAAACAGTAAAGGTGCCGTTCCCCTAGAACCACGATACCAGCCTCGAAGCTGCTCAACGTGACAGCTTGAATGTCCAGAATCGCCTCGCCAATATTGTATCTCCAGTCAGGTTCGTGGCTATCGGCGGGTATAGGACGCCGTTCCCGTTGCCATTGTCGTTGCCGATGATGATGATGATGTAGCTGTTGTTCTTCAACTTCCTCTTCATGGTTGTCGTCGTCATTGTCAACTGCGTCGACATTGCTTTCGCGTCTCTCTTTGATTCGTACAGATTCCGCCATGCTCTGATACCTACGAATCGGACGTTAAAGGTTTCGTCGTTACATTTTGTCGTTATCGACATTACCGATCGATCGGAAAAAATCGTTGACAAACCGATAATCGTACCTGTAACACTCGAGGAACCACGAGGTGCTAGCAGTAACGAATAAATCGTTCCGCGCAATGTAGACGATCGGTTCGGGCAGTAATCGATTCTTGAGAACCTGGCTGAACACAAACACTTCCTGCTCGTAGAAGAAAAGCGTGCCGTCCAAGCACTGCACGCAAAGGAAATCCCGACCCCGTACTCCACCGAACGGACCCGTCGTCAGAGACGCCGGATGTCTCGGCAACGAATGCTCGTAAGCGACTTTCAAATCGCAGCGATCTCCTGTCGGAATCGACGACGTTTATGGAATCAATGGACAGATTGGCAATAGGATGTGTCGTGGCTGTACGATCGCGAAACCGTCCGACGGGGAACAGAAAGGACCTGCGTCGCTCGAGAAAGCCGCCTCGAGCTCCTCAACGGTGGAACCCGTTTCTCGATCGTCTTGCCTCGTCCTGTCGAGCAGAGTTGGGCAAAACGTAATCTAACTACAAAATACTATACCATAAAAATTACAATGTAATTGTAATTGTCCTGAAATCAGCCCCTAAATTCACGGATCTGATTGACTTTTCCAGTGGCTCTATTAAATACTTTTTAAGGCATTCTTAGTCAATATTTTATTAAAAATTTCCTATCACGATTAATTCCATACTGTATAATATATTGAAGTAACTGTTTCTAATCTTATTTTCATGGATTGTTATGTATGTATACTGAGTTTATATCCGTGAAATAATTAAATAAATAAATAGTTGCAATTTCGATTTTGTAACTAGATTACATTTTCCCCAACTCTGCTGTCGAGTAATCGAGCGACAAACCGTATTCCGTGGAACCGTCAATCAAAATCGCGTTGTACACCAGCAGCTTCGAGGACGTCAATATCGCCAGTCGAAGGTCCTGCGAGCCCCTGCAACAAAACAACTCGATTCACCGGTTCGTTCGTTTTCCCGGAGTGCCTCGCGCTCTGTACTCACGATACAAATTTCCCGGCTTTAATGTCAACGATGCAGTCACCGATTTGCGTTTCAAGCATCGTGTCCGTCGATTTATACCCGCTCGGCGATCTCGTCTCCTCGATCCACTGCGAAGAAGGACTGTAGATTCTCAAATAACCATCGTGGCTGCCCACCACGATCGCGTCCTTTTTCTCCTCGCCGAACAACGGTGTCACCAGCAGACACCGTCCGTCGAAAGTTTCTTGGGCCCCGCATACTGTACGCCACCACTCTTTGGTCTTGAACAACGACATTACCGATCTCGACAAGGAACTCTGTGAAAATCGCTTGACCAACGCGCACGATTGCTCTATATATACACCAGCTTGAGAAAAATCGGCTTCTCACTATGGACTTACCTTGCCAGGGTTCGGTTTCACTGCCCTTCGTTGCCATAGCGTCGCGACTTCAAAACATCGAGTCGCCGCCGTCGTGTTGGTTCAGTTACACGTGTTCAATCCTATTGGGATTGTGAACTGTGTGTTCCTCGAACGAATCACCGGTTTTACATAGTTTTTTTGCACGACCGGTTCGAACCGCTGTTCTCATCGAGCACAACGTATGTATTTACACGTGCGTACTCACCGTGTACGGCGTGAAAACACGACGTGAAAGTGGCGGTCGCGTGGAGCTCGATTTGAATTTACCGCCGCGGCCGAGTCCACCAGTTACCGTCGCCGCAGTGTAGATGGCGGAAGTGTTCAGTTTCGCGCGTGTCGATACTGGCAGCGCACCGAAGGGGTGGGACACAGTGACCAGTAGTGACAGAAGGAAAACGTTCCAAAAACAGGAGGGAGGATCGTTTTAAGGTTTCCCTTTAACTGATTCGGTTGGTTTTTGGGATTCGTTCGAGACAATTGTCTCGATCCTGAATCGCCATGGAGCCTCAGGACATTTACTACAGCAAAGCGGAATACGTCGAGACGGTAAGAAGAACAGATATTGATACACAATGTTACGACGCGATGTCGACCTAACCTCTCTTTCTCTCCAATGTTTTAGGCGTCCGGGAACAAGGTCAGCAGACAGACCGTTCTCTGCGGCTCGCAGAATATCGTTTTGCACGGGAAAGTGATCGTTCAGTCGGACGCTATTATCAGGGGCGATCTGGCGAACGTTCGAACGGGACGTTACTGCATAATCAGCAAGAACGCCATCATAAGGCCGCCGTTCAAAAAGTTCAGCAAAGGGTCAGTAGTTGTCGAGCGACATTACGGAACCGTCGAACGTGTCGGTTCCACGACAACGATCGAATCATCCGTACTTTTCGTTTTTTTAGCGTTGCCTTCTTCCCATTGACGATGGGGGACCACGTGTTCGTTGGAGAACGCGCCGTGGTAAACGCAGCGATCGTCGGATCTTACATATACATAGGAAAAGATGCAGTGATCGTACGTATGCTCGAAATCATTTTATTTAAAGCTACCTTTAGTTTGCCCAGAGTGGTTGTAACGCGCGTTGTGCGAATTTTTTTTGTTCCAGGGAAGGAGGTGCATCCTGAAGGATTGTTGCTACATCGAAGACGGCGCCGTGGTACCGCCAGAGACCATAGTACCGTCGTTCACTCGGGTCGCCGGGAGCCCCGCGAAATGCGTCGAGGATCTGCCCGATTGTACGCTCGATCTGATGCTGGAATTCACCAAGAATTATTACCAGCACTTTCTGCCGTCGCACGGTTAACCTCGTCGACTTTTGCGTATACATACCCTGTACACAGAAGCTTCTTTATCTATTACATTTTCTACTCGTTCTTCGTTGCATTCGATCAGACGCCGCTTGGTCAGTATGTCCATTCATTTATCGACAACGATCGGTTTCCTCCCGTCGTTCGCTTTCGTCAATAACGGCCGTCTGCGAAACAATCATGGATCAAACACCAGCATCGACGCGGTTGGTTCGCGTCGATCGTACTTTTTCTGCCAGAGCAGCTCGAGCGTGAACACGGCCAGACTGAAAAGGGCCCCGTAACCCATCGAGACTAACGCGAAGTAACATTCGGTGAACCCGATGCTGATGAAACCAGTCTGCCCCTGACATTGCGGCCTCTCTGTATACAACCGATACTCCTCCCGGTACTTTAACCCGGTCTCGTGCATCCGAAGGGCTCTGAAAACCATAACGAGACGGTGTATATACCGAGTCATCGAATATCGAGCGGGGGAGCGGCCGATGCTGTTCATCCAACGGGGCTCACGCGTTCCTGACGATTTCCTTGTACGGCGATTTCCTTTGGATGACCATCAGTGGATCCAAAATGTTCAGAATGTTGATCTCCGTGATCCCACACTTCTCCTCCTCGAGGAACGTTTCTTGCATGATCTTGTAAGCAGTGCCTCGCTCGGCGTGGATCGCGAACAGTTCGGTCCTCATTCGGTGCACCCCCTCTTGTATGGTCATCCAGGAATCCTTGTTCCCCTTCGGCTGGATCTTTTGGTCGACGATGGCTCTCCGGACCGGATCTTGGAACTGCTGCACTGTCGAATGGGACAAGGGAAAAGAGATTACTCGGATGATCGGTTGAAACCAGGGACTTTAAACCTGTATGATTTTGATACCGGTATTATGCCATCAAAGCTGTACCGAAACCGAAATAAATACCGGTATTTTTTTCGGTTTCTATAAGAGTAGGGCTTATATAGGGATATATAGAGCTGAGGTACAATCGCAAAATACCGGTATAATACCGTTTTGGGAGAAGTCCCTGGTTGGAACTCGGTCGATGGAATGTTAAAGCGCAACGATACGTGGTCCGTACCGTAAAGTAATACCGATTGTAGATGACGTCCTGCGCGCCCAGTTTGAGCGGGCTGGCCAACAGATCGGCCGGGGTCTTGATAGAGTTGCTGGTCGATTGAAGTAGAGCGACGATGTTGGCCGTGTAAGACGCATACAAGCTCAACGCGGCAAGCAGAAGCATCAAGGTGACGATTCGAGGCGGAACCCTGTACGGCTCGTAGTAATACCCTGTCGTTTCGGTACCCGCAGATAGAGTCACAACCAACCCAGTTTTATTCCACGTTATCGGGGCCTACCTTGTTGAGCCATCGCCCCGAGCACGACCATCACGTTGTCGCTGAGCGTCTGTTCCGCCGGATTCAACGATTCCCAATATTCCGAAGTGCCCCGACGATACTCCCATTTCGAGGAGAAATACAGCAGTACTACGACCAACAGTAGAAACACACCCAGCGCGAGCCAGACGGAACGGTGAAACGGCAACGTGAAGATGTTGCTCACGGTCGACAACAAAGGTTGACGGAATATGAATAGAGATCTGTAAAACGATTGTTCGTTTACGAGCATCCGTTGGCTTTCGTGGCATTTACGCGCAGACACGAATGTACGTCTTACCGTGTTCGTGTGTATAGTTGCACGTAATCGAGAACCGGAAGTCGCTCTTTAACGAAGAACGTCCCGGTGCCTCCTATGTCGATCTCTCGACGTTGCAACATCCCGGTCATTCCGCTCCACGAACCGTTCTCGTCGCGATATCCCCAGGTGTCGGTTATGCGAAAACTTATTCTGACAAGGGAAAGGCAAGGTTGTGGAGATCGATTTTGGAACGGCATTATGTGGAAGTTATAGTACACGATATAGTATTACAAAACCTTCGTGGATTTCTTCAGAATGGGCCTTGGTTTTCGAGATATTTTGGTTCGAAGTTTTACATGTATCAAGTAGTCTGTTTACATAAAAAGTGTCATCGAGAAAATGTCATGGCTACCATGGTAGAGTACCTGTTTACCACGCTGCGGATCCAGGTTCAAATCCAAGAAAGAAAAGTTGTTTGTTTTTTTTTTTTTCTTTATTCTTGTTTTAATATTAGATATTATATACTAAATATTTTGTACTATCCTACACAAATTTCAAGATTGAAATTTATTTATAAGAGTGTTTTCATGTTTGTGTACTGCAAAAATATTTTTCTGTATGAATTTTGTCTCGAAAGTTTCAACGTATGCGATTATCGAGCAGAATTGAGGTAATATTTAGGGTAAGGGTCACATTCAGCCGTAAAGGATAGTCTTATACCTGCTTAAAAGAATGGTCGAATACCTGTTCAGAATGATTTTTGTTGTCGGGCGTTAGTTTGCTTCGATTTGTCGTGAGAGTAACATAACGAAAGATATTTTCAGATACAAAAGTGAATAGTGAGTGGAAATAGTTTTCGCGAAGTCTAGATAGATATGTGGAGTGCCTGGAAGATGTGTGAAGATTATGTTAAAAACGAACAATTACACGTTGCAATCGCCGTCTACGAAAATTGCACAGACAATTACAGAAATTGCGAATGAAATGTACAATTGCATAGTTACCCTAACTATCACCTCAATTCTACTGGACAATCGCAGGCGTTGAAATTCGAGGCATGAAGAATTCACACAGAAAAATATTTTTGCAGTACACAAATATGAAAACACTCTTGTAAATGCGTTTTCAATCTTAAAATTCGGTAAAACGGTACAAAACACTAAAATAAGGAGGAAGAAAGAAAAGAAGACAACAGAGGGAAAAAAGGGTAAGAAAAAAAATTTTATACGTCTCTTTGGATTCGAACCCGAGTTCGTATCGTGGTAAGCAGATACTCTACCGTCGTAGCTATGACACTTTCTCGCCGACGCGTTTTATATAACCAGACTACTGATACATGCAAAACTTCAAACCAAAATATCTCGAAAACCAAGGCTCATTCTGAAGAAACCCATTACGATTTCGTAATACCATATGTGTACTATAACTTCCACATAGTGCCGTCCTAAAAGTGATTACCACTACCGTGTCTTTCCCTTGTGAATCATAGAAGTGTCGTACATCGTCCGTCAAAGAAAGACGGGATTACCTATGAAGAGAAAGAAAACTCACGTCGCGTTCATTCGGGCCACCATCGTCAATATCCACGGATAATTGGCCTTCGTTATTGGATCTATATGCTTGTTTTCGTAATCAGTTAAGTGGTTGATCGTATCAGGGTCCGTCATCTACGAACAGAAATGCACTCCTGATTTATCGCCGCGCGATCCACGCCCGTAAATCGATCACATTCGGCGGTGGCGGCAGCTATTTGACACGTGAATTACATTCTCTTTCGGCTGGTGAACGATCGAAAAATTTGAAACAATGTTTATCCGATTTCCCAGAGGTTCGTTATCTTATCGGAACGTTTCAATCGCGTTTGATCGATCGGCAGGGAACGAATCGTAATCGTTTGTTTCACATATTTCTGTTGTTGTTGCGTAAGTACCACGAGGCAGGATCTCAGATGCGTTCCTCGAAGATCCCGTCTGCGCCGCGAGACGGGAATTCGATTGTTCGGTTGTAGGCCACGATCGGTTGTCCAATTCCCACGATCCTCGAATATCAACTCGCCGGTGGGGCTCGGTTTGTAGATCGAGTATATGTCCGTGAAATTGTCTCGCAATCGTCTAGCCAGAAACACTTCGCTGTCCGGAAGTACGTTCGCGTCGCGAAATATATGCGACACTTCGTCCTCGATCGACCGATCTGGACCTGTCGCTGGGTTTGCCGGTGTCTGCTGGCCGAAGGCTCGGCGATCTAGGAAGAGAAGCCACTTGTTCGGCGCGGTGAACATTCCGGTTTCGTTCGCCTGCGAACAAGAAACAACGTTTCAAACGGGCGACAGATACCGATCACGAACGTAACCGGCGACATTTCCAACGCACCGTTCGCAACAACGAGATAGCGTGGTCGCAGTCCAAATCCAGTATTCGTAATAATCGGTGATCCGTCGAATCTCGCAATCCACCCTCGAAATCCACCCTCGAGTCTCGACGGATGTCGTGGATCACACCACTTCGCGACATCTCTTTGGACAGGCTGATCGCACCCCCTGTGCCGTCATAATCTCCGTAAAAAAATTTATAACCCCTAATTTTTCATGAAAATCAACTACAGTTCCGTAAGGCTCGTGTCAAACGGAATTTGTCATAACGTTTCCATTTCAATAATTTGATCATCAACCTTGCGATTTTTGGTAGCAATCGAAAGCCGAAGTCGTTAAGAATAGTCTAGAATTTTTTTCAACTAAATCTACAATTACGAAAAATTTGCGGGAGCCACATTAAGTGGCCGCCCACGCGCGCCTCATGTGTCGTTGAGTGACGGACGGTTACGCAATCACGGGACTGCGTTCGTCCGAGTTTCTTACGTTCGTCGATCCGGCAGAGATGCGCCGATATTCTTGTCGACGGAAACAGAACGTTAATCGCGTCGTTTACGAGTCGCAGGAATGAGGTGTCGAATGAATCGCCGTGCGTTAGCATCGTTAGATCGACGAGAATCAACCACCAAGCGAAAATCCTCGTGACGAACATCGTCGACGAAATGGATTCGACGTGTTCCCGAACGAATTTTGAGTCCGTTAGGACTCACCCTAGATTCTATACGCCGCCGAATGGCAATTGGAAAGTACCTGTTCGAAGGCGCAAATCTGACGTTCTAAAAGATTCAGCAGTTATTGACGGACAAAACCTGGCAAATTATCACCCTCGAAAATAACGGTTCGCCGTACATTCGAAATTACTCGTCGACTGGTGGGTTCGTTTGGAAATTACTTTTTCCCGTTGCGTCGTCGCGGTAATTCTTAGTCGCGAGCAAATTACAGATGTCTAGGTAGGTATAGGTTCGTACGAAAAACGCTTTCGACGTCGAGGAACAGCCCGGCGGGCGTGTTGCATGCACGGGCCGATCGATAAAACGATCGACGGCAAGGTTGGGTATGTGCCTCGAGATGTCTGCTCGCCGCGCGAGAAACCATTCGAATTGTGTTGTTCGCCGGTTCGACAAGGTGAGCTAGATATACATACATATACACATTATATCTGGACCTCAGAACCGGAGTTCCTTCAGTCACACTTTTTAAACTTTAGAGGAGGGCAAATCAACGCCGAATCAAAGAGGATCTACGGGGGGCTGTAGCCTCGGGCCCCACGTTCCAAACCTTCGTCCCATTCCACCTTCTAAACCATTTCTTTTGTTATTTCATTTTATTTAAAATGAATTTCAATTATTCCAGATTTCTGTTTTTTTTTTTGTGCGATTGTCTGTAACTATAAGTATATATAATAAGTTAATAACTATAGTAGATATAATCTGTCTAGCATAATAAAGTACGTGACAAACACACAAAGAAACAGAAATCTTAAAAAAATTGTTAATTCATTTTAAATAAAATTAATTACCAAAAGAAACAGTCCAGTTTTGAAGGAGTTGTTCCGTGTTAAAGGGTGTACGAATACTTTTTTTATAAAAGCAGATTTTTTATAAAACTAGACTAGACTGATACGTCGAATCAGTGGATAATATCGATCGATGATCGTATCGCGTTCGGAATACGATTATCGCCGTTGGCTATCGACGCTTTCGAACAGTCACGAGATACTTGCGGGACGCGTGGAAACGTTGAAAAAGAGCGTGAAATTCGGGGAGGCTGATACCTGTCGACACGACGACAAGGCATCGCGAGGTGTGGGCGTGTGGGGAGGGAGGGGAAATGCCGACCTTGCGAAAGACTCGCATCGGCGTATCGCGTGACGAGTTGGTGATTGACACGTGCGTCGAGCCCACCGATGTCTTATCATCGTTAGGTCGTTCGTCCGCGATCGGGGACGGTGGAGAAGGAGGAGACCCGCAGCAGCCAACGCCGAAGGAAAGTCAAGAGTGTGTCGTGCCGATGCGCTACGCGTGCTCGGAGATTACCAGATTTGCGGGAAAGCTTACGGACGGTATAGTGACTCGCTCACGCTGCGTCGTTCGCGTCTCGTTTTTGTCCGCTGATCCGTTCTCTTCCACCTGCGAAAACACTTTTAATATTTTCCTCGAAGCCCCCCACCCCTCGTGTTCCCTCCATGTAGGCAATTCGAACGACCGTTCGAAACGAAAGTAGACTCGTTCAATTTCGGGCCATCTCGCACCTCTATGTGGTCTGCCCCAGGGGCGATATTCAGTTAACTCTTTTTTTTTTTTTTTTTTTTTTTTTTTTTTTTTCACGATCTTGAAGTAACGACCTAGGAAAAAAACTGCCTTCCTGCTTTTTACAAGGTTTTATCTAATTTAACACGGTGCATGGAAAAGTATATTGTATTAGGTCTTCCGGAAAGTTCTGTCCGATAATGTCGTCTCAAGTTTGAACACATTCGAACGTGTTCGTTTGCACTCGCTGAGCGAATGAAATCATTATATTGTTCAGTGAATATTAATAAATGTGGTGTTTTCCTTTAATTCAAAAACGGGCAGAACTTTCCGGTAGACGTAATATTGTTTCTAGCATCTTTTTTATTGAAAATGTTGCATTTTTCCTTTTTGCAATACTTGTGCGATAATAATTATATTTATAATTGAAACGTCTATGAATTTTATTCTGCTGTCAAGTATTTGGATGTATTTACATATGAATTTTCGTCACGTTTTTACGCGGTTTTTTAAATGAAATGTATAGCTCTTTCTCCCATCTTAGACGGTATTTTCATAACTTGGAACGTATCTCCCATTTTACTATAGGAAACGTAGTTTTAATATCTTCCGTGTGAAAAAAGAGCCGAGTGTATGTACGTACATCCACGAGCAAGCTCGACTTCCGCCAT